TGGTCAGGGGCCCCCTCCGGGGCCAAGAGCGGCTAGCCAGCCCCTGTCAGCAGCCAGGCCCGGCAGGCCTTATGCCCAAGGGGAGAGAATCAGCCTCCAGATGCTGTCGTGGAACATTGCGAGTTCTCAAAGCTGGAAAGAGGAGCCCTGTTCTGGAGTGACTCGGTGTGACTGCAGACCTGATATCCCTGAAGGACCTAGTCCAGTCTAGCACCTAACAGCCCTGGCTCTGACGATGGAGACGGCATCACTAACAGGCCCAGAAAACCCACAAGCACCACCCACAGCTTTCAGGCAGGGTCTGAGGGCTTGTGTACTCATGAGAGGGAGAAGTGAGATGGAGAAAGCACCCCTCAACGGGCAGTCATGCTACAACCCCTTCTTTATCCAGCCTGCTGATTTAGGGCACACAATGCACACGTGCCGGCCTGTTTCTGAAGCTGGCAGGGCCAGAACTTGGACTGTGTGGTCAGCCTTGTGGAATCCAGCTCCCTTAATCACGAGGCCTGGATTTTATTTCTAAAATAACAGGGTCCCTCTTTCTCACCATAGCATGTACATGTTTATAATTCCATGTTCAATATTTAAGTCTGTTCTCCACAGGCCAAACTCCTCCCCACCAGGTGGCTGGAAAATATTTTCACAAGGTGAGGGCCAGGCCAGCCTGCCAGGCTCTAGGGCAGTGGATGTGGAAGGGCGGACGAGGGAAGGGAAGACTGGTGAGCTCCAAAGAAGCAGAAAGGGCGAGTTGCTAAAATATACCTTTACTTGACTGGGAGGAAACCCCTCCTGAGTCCTGGGTCCCACGTCCCATCACCACCTCCTGTGGGAACATCTGACGAGGTTCTGTCATGTACTAGCGTCTATACTCCAGGAGAGAAGGGAGTGGATGTACTGGTTAGCACGTAGACAGTCAGGGACGGGACAGTGTGACCAAGGACTCTGGGGGCTGCCCGGCAATGTCCTCTTCCCCAGGGCTCATGATAGAATGTCAACCAGCATGAGCCTGCCCCAGCCCAGCAGGGAATCAGGTCCTACCCACTAGTAGGAACTTAAGAACCTAGGCGACAGCTGAGGCCTGGAGCCTGTGACGCACCAGGAAAACCCACCCCACTGGTCCCTCCTTGTCTCCCGGAGTCCTGGGTCCAGGGCCACACAGACCAATGGCCTAAGAGAATCTCAGTATTCGGGCAACAGGAAGGTGGAAGAGTCAGATGACAGGGAACTACGAAGAGGACAGAAAGGAAACGAGTCCTTCCCTGGCACAATGCTTGCCTGAGTCCAACCCGCATCAGCAAGTACGGTTTCCACTTCAGAATATTCTCAAAGAATATTGTGGGATTGTTAAGTGGGGAGGCAGGGGGGGTAAATAATCCTTGTTTTTAGACAATAATCCCCATTTAAGGTAATGGGACTATATGCAGATAAGCATTATTTTTGCCTTAAACTCCTAAATCACTGAAAATAAACAGAAAAGATTCTAAAGAACACAGGTGGTCTGTAAAGGTGTAAATGTTTTAAGGCAAAGCCAAGCCATTTTAACTATGCACTGTACATTATACAGGCAGCTGCAGGGCAGACCCTGAGCCCAAGGGTGTACAGCTTAGCATTAAATGAAAAGGTTAGCATTTTATCTGCAAAATCCATGAACTTCATATTGATTTTTGAAGCTGTGACACCAACTAATATGTGAACCCTAAAAGTCAAATTCTCACCTAAAATACAACTCTCTGTGGAATAAAAATAACTTGTTACCATCAATAAAAGCAAAACACAGAAAACTTACAAAAATAGACATTTATTAGTAAGAGACTATAAAATTCAAAATCTCCGTGAAACATAACTTTAAAAAATGGAGGCTATTTCCACAAAGACAAATATACATATACACATTTGTTTTTAGACAGGGTCTCACTACATTGCCCAGGTGGGCTTCGAACTTGCATTTCTCCTGCCTCAACTTCCCAAGTAGCTGGGATTGCAGATGTGCAACACTGTGCCTAGCTCTGACAGGTCATGTTTATACTTCAAGGATTTAGTACAATATCCTTTTATTTTACTTCTCTTCATGCTCCTGAAGAGAAATCTGATATATTTTGGACATTCGGCATTAATATCCACCCATACCTTCTGCCCTCAGAAGTGTTCCCTCAATCTGAGCTGAGGAAAGGTCTCTCCTGACGGAGCACGATGGGTCTCAAGGCCCAGAAGTAGCTCACTCACACTGACCACGTGGGACACGCTGTCCCTCGAGTTTATACTCACTGATCAGTTAAGTCCTCTCAATCTTCCTTGTCAGAGAACTAGGTTAACATACTAAACCTGTTATTTCATATGCTTTTCTGAAACCCTTGACTCCATGAAAGTGGGAGCACCTCGAAGACCGGCCTGAGGCACTGGTCAGCAGGCTGTGAGGCGCCGGCCGGCAGAAAGGCCAGCATTTGAGATGGTGGCGGCAATGTCCTTGCAGAGCACAATGATGGCCTCCTCCTTACCACTTGGCATGTCCTCTGCGGCATTGCAGACCGTCTGGATGTGGGTTAAGAGTGTGTCCGGCTGCTGGGCTCCCAGCCACATGTCCTTGATGTACAGAGACACCAGGAATGCTGCAGAGGCTGTGGAAGAGTCCGACAGGAGGCCATGAGGACACAGGCACACTCGGCTGCAATTCAGGTCATCCTGCCCAGGACGCATAGCGACTTTGCTGAGCACCCAAGTGAATGCACCACTTACCTGCAGCAGCCGGAGGTGAGCATACAGGTGAGACTATTAATTCCGCCTCTGTTTAACTTGGAGGTTTTTCTGTTCACCTAAAAATCTATCCTTCTGGGAACCAGCAATTAGTGTAATGGGTATGTCGCTGGATTCCCACGTAGTCGACTGCGGTTCGTGTCCTGGACTCGGTGGCTTAAAACTCACAACGGGCACGTGTGCATGCATGCCCAAGATCCCGGGAGGAGAATGGAGGAGAAGGGATTGCGGCGTGACCATCCCCTCTGGGGGGTGATTTCTTGCTTTCTGTCTCTATGTCTCTCTCTGTCTGTCTGGCGAGTGCACGCGCCCTGTAGTGAAAACCTCTCAAAAAAAAAAAAAATATATATCTATCCTTCTGACAAATGGGTGTGGATTCCCCCCAAATAAGTTCGTACAAGGCAGACCTCTTTTGGTTCTGCCAACTCATGTCAAGAACCACAAATGCAGTTTGAGAACTTCCAGAATTGTTTCATACCATTTCGACATTTGCAGAGTAGAGAGAAGGCTTTATAGGCAAAAAAGACACAATTCCTCAACTGCAGCCACATGAGCGGAAGAGGGTCTCCCTGCCACCAGGTGAGTTCGCCTGCCCAGGTGACAACTTTCCCCATCTCCAACTCTCCTTCTGTCCCTCCAACTCTCCATCTTCTAGATGAAGAGGCCACACCCAACTCCCTTGAGTTCTCTCACAGCCATTTAAAGCCTGTGCCGTTCGTTCATACACTCACTCAGGGGCACCTGCTAAATGCCAAGTATATAAACTGTGTATTTGTGTGCTTATAGAGATATATAAATCCCTCTGTATCCACAGGTTTTGCATCCATAAATCAGAAATATGTGGGGGGTGGAATTAACCTTCCAGACACTGAGGGATGGCTACACACATCTGGCCATGATGCAAAACACGTTCTTCATCTGGGTCATGGTCAAAAGACGCACTGAGGTTCCAGGGGGGCAGGGAGTGCCTCCCGTACTGTAAACACGGTCGTCACCAAGTCTCTCCTGAAAGCTCAGGCAGACTTCTTTTCCCTTCACGCTCATGCCACATGGCACATCCTGCCACCAATTGCGTTAAGGGTCGCATGAATACTTAAAGTACCAACCCCAAAGTTCCTGGCAGAGGCCTAAGGAACAGAAGTTTCTCCCACCTCCCAAACCTGCTCGTGCATTTCTTCAGCCTCCAACCAAAGAACCAGCCTCACCTTGGGTGACTTTGTCCTTCTCACTCTGAGAAGAGTAGCAGAGGGTCTCCATCGCCAGCTGGAGGGGGCTCCCCTCCTGGCCCTGGGCCGCCACCAGCTGCAGCATGACCGTGTTGAAAAGGCAGGCCACATCCTGAGTAGGCCCCGCCAGGCCCTCAGTCCCACAGAGCTGGCTGTACAGTTTAAATATGCCACTCTTCACGGCACTGTTTCTGAGAAGGTCAGCCACAACCTCTGGGTGTGGCAAAATGTGGCTCTTAAGCCAGCCAAGGAGTCCTGCAGCCTCTGGTCTGCTGAGCGGCTGCTCGGCCACTGACCGCAGTACCCAGCTGACCACCAGGGTAGTGGTGGCATGTGCAGGGCTTGGCACACCACTCTCAGGGCGGGCCTCATCAGAGGGCTCTTGTGCGGGCTCAGGGCTAGGAATCACTGGTCCCCAGTGGGTCAATATGGACCTCAGGAAGCCCTTGCACTTCTCCAAGCTGGATGCCTGCAGCTCAGGGTCAGCTGTCTCCTCTGCCTCTCCAGGCCTCCTCTTCCGACCCCAAGGGCCTTTGGCTCGGGCCAGCAGAACAGGCTTGCTCTTGTCCTTGAGCATTTCTGTTAAACACACACAGAGAAAAAGATAATGACACTGGTTTCTCGCTTGCACACTCAGGTCCAGATAAGAGAGCTGTATGCGATGGGGGGAGGGGCAGAGAGAAGGGGGACAGCTTAGCGTCCTGAGCACCTTGGCACAGGCTCCCACGCTTGGACCACAGAACGTGCTGGACATTTCACTGGTGGCCACCGTTATCACAATGAACTCAGTACTGGGAACTACGAGGCAGGCGCCCTTATATCCTCATAGACATGCAGGGTAACAGGGTTGAGCTGATGGCAGCCTAGAGCTTAAATCCAGGGGGTCTGGCCTGAGCCTATTCCTTGCACCCCATACTTCTTGAGGAGGCGAGGACAAGTAGTCCTTAGTCACTCCACCCCTTTTACAGTTTAGATCCAGGCAGGTCGTGTGACTTATCCAAAGCCAAAAAGCTGCTAAGTGACAGAGCTGGACCTCAAGCTTCCCCATTCCCTCCCGTGTCCCTCGAGGACAGAGGTGCCGTCTCTAAAATGGTGCTTGGAAGGGGAGAGAGGCTGGCTGCCTGGGAGGCCCTGGAGGGCAGTGTGTGGACACTCACTCATCAGCTCCCGAACTTGGCACTGCTCTATGGCTGTTGTCAGGTCTTCCTGGAGTTTCAAGTCTCTTTTGATGAGGCTCCATTTGTACAGGAGGACAAGGATATCCTTGGTGGAAAGCACTGTCTCGTTCACAGTGAATCGGTTCATGTCCTTGAAGGCCTGAATAACCGTGGCCCGGTACCTCAGCACAGACTCAAGTGTCCCGAAGAAGCTGGTCAGCTGGGTGGAGGCCAAGGTGGGCCTGTTTAGGAGACAGCGTTAAAGACCACAGAGGCTGCCTCCCTGCTCCAGCAGCCCAGGACTGAGGTGGTCTGCCAGCACCCATGACAACGACGGGTAGCTAGCATGGGCCCTAGAACACAGATTGAGAAAAGTGAGCTGCTCCAGAGAGACAGAAAGGGGGGCCCGAGTCTGACCTCTATGCTGCAGGTACAGTGATGTCTTTAAAAACCTCAGCTAAACAGGTAGCCAAGCTGAGGAAGCTTTAGGCCAGGGTACCAGGGGCCTAGCAGAATTCCATTCCAGGACTCCATGTCCTTCTCCAATCATGAAATATCAGGCACAAGTAAACAGGCCCAGGAAGTCCCTGGGACAGCGTCCACTCCCATGGCCAGAATCTGCTTGATGGTCACTCAGAAGAAACTGACCTCTCTGAACTCCAAGAAATTTACAATTCAGTAGCTTTGGTCCCATACAGTTTTTTTTTTTTTTTTTGGAGAGGTTTTCGCTATAGGGCGCGTGCGCTCGCCAGACAGACAGAGAGAGACATAGAGACAGAAAGCGAGAAATCACCCCCCAGGGGGGATGGTCACGCCTCAATCCCTTCTCCTCCATTCTCCTCTTGGGATCTTGGGCACGCACGCACACGCGCCCAGCGTGAGTTTTAAGCCACCGGGTCTGGGACGCGAATCATGGTCGACTACATGGGAGTCCAGCGACATAGCCATTACGCCAACTGCTGGTTCCCAGTCCCATACAGTTTTAAAAGTAAAATCGTTATTTTGGAGGGTAGAGAGTTCTGACACCAGTGTGTCTTCTGACAACCTTGCAAAGAAATGTGATCACTCAGCATCGACTTAACTTGGAACAACATAAAGAAAATGTCCTGTTTTTTATCAAGAAATTTCTCATCCTGAGACCACAATCCACCTGCTACTAATCTGCTTCCAGTTAGCACACATCAGCTCCCAAGTCAGAAACACACACACACACACACACACACACGACGGATGGATTGGAACACGTGGAATTTGGGGATTTTGCTCTCTTGAAACCATGAGCGTGATTCCTCAGGTTCGAACAGAAACAGACACTTGAGAATTCATGGGCAAGTGAGTTCACAGGATGACACAGGCAGAGGCAAGTCTGGAACGCCCTTAGGTCAAGGTTACTGGATGATGATCTTCCTATGAGACATGACCTCATTCCAGTGTTTAAACTGAAACATCAAGGTGACGGTCTGGCTACTAACATGACCTCACAGGACCTGTTCTAGGTTTCCTGAAGTGTGTGAAGGGACTAGGTGGCGGCCCAGCAGGACCCGCATGGGAGAGGCTCTGGACCCATGTCCCAGGACTTCCCTGAGTGTGCCAGCATGTGTGTGCCCATGATACTGGCTGAGGCTGGGGGTGGATCACAGCATGAGGCCCCGGGTGGGGGTTTGTCTCTCAGGGCCTTGATGAGGGACCTTTGAAGTGGAATGGAAAGATGGAAGAAGCCCAAGCAGCAGTCCTGACCCCCTCATGCCCAGTCTGGGCTCTGGGCCAGCCACACCAGGCAGGTTCACCCACGGCAGAGGCACCTGTGGTCATGACTGAGGCATGATGTCCCAGCCAGGACACCCTCATAGGTCCCAGCAGGGGGCTCACCTCAGGTGCCTTGTCAGCACGACGAGGACATACAGGAACTCGTTGACCAGGTGCAGGGCCAGCAGCTTGGGGGATTCCTGGGAGCTGGGCTGGCCAGGGGGCGGGCCCTGCCCCTCCGCCTTGTCTCCCAGGTTGGTCGTCCACAGCGTGTGCAGCAAGGAGATCACCTGAGACAGCAATGGGGTCTCCAGGAACCTAGAACCAAGTAGGGCCACTTCCAGTCTGTCACGTCCTCCCCTCTGATGTGACCAGTCTATCAGTGGGGACAGAGGTCATGGAACAAACCTGACAGTGGTGACAGTGCCAGGAAATGGCCGGGCAGACCCTAGTCCTAGCTGCTCACCTGCAATAAGCAAATCTCCTGGGAAAAGAGGTGGCTCAACCTACAACAGGGTCCCCATACTCCCGTCTAGGCAGAAGGCTCCCATGAGTCTCCCCAGAATTCTGGAGTGACTGTTGTACAATAGTGAGAACTGCCCTGTTAGTGATGAAGATTCGGCTTCTAAAACATCAGGTTATTAGGAACAGATAAGTAGCCAATTGTATCTTTCATAAATCTGAAGCAGTCAAGTTGACATTCAAAGATACATTCACGTTTAACACTTTACTTTTAGAGAAATTTCAGAGAACACATATATATATATTTTAAATACAAGAAAAGAGCCTGGATACCCGGGCTCACTGAGGCTCTTTTAAAGACAGAGCCCCTCACCACACGGTGTCTGCCTCCACCTCTCCACAGCCTCCACCTCAGGAGACAATGATGAGTAATCATGATAAACCACCCCCCAGCCCCTTGTTGATCTGGCAGGGGCTCAGACTGAGCAGCCGACCTCATGCTAGAGCACGGCTCTGTGGACCCCACAGACTCTCTGAAACCGGAGGCTGCTTGTTTCTCCCTGTGTGCGCTGGGGGAGCTGCAGTCGCAAAGGCTTGGTTGGCAGCATATTGTTGCAGACCGCACAGAGCAGACCCGCACACCAGGGAGGAGTCTGAGGTGGAACAGAGACGGAAGCTGGTGGAGCCTCTGCCACATGTGAACAGCAGCAGGGATCCATCATTCCGCGGACAAAGGTTTCGACGCGGGAACAGCCATCTCCACATGACTGAGAACCAGCTTCCCAGGCCTCTGGTAGTGCTAGAGGGCTGGGCTCACTGGCCTGGAACTTACTGGACATTTCCAACCAATACTCGCGATGGTAGCAGAGCTATCTCTCCTCTCCCCTCCCCACCAGACACATACCTCTCACGTGACAGGAACTTACCTGCTCTCCAGGATGTGTACTATCCAAGTTAGAAGGCTATAGTCCCGTATGATTTCATAAGCAGATCTGGCAACTTTGGCAGCATTCTGCAGTATTTCCAGAATCCAATTCTGAAAGTCCAAGGCAAAAAGGTACATTTTAGTGAGAAGACCTAACTCGATCAAAGGAACGTTTTTCTTGTTTAAATGACGGGGAGTGGGTGTACACATGCATGTGAAAAGCAGCACCCTCAGCAAGGTCTCATGCTGCAACCCCCTCCCAGCCCTCCAGCTCATCAGGATCTTTGGAACCAGCACAGACCCGGCATGCCCATAGAGGTCCCAGGGTAAGAACCCAGGTCCTTCCTGTGTGAGTACCAGCACAGACCCGGCATGCTCACAGAAGTCCCAGGTAAGAACCTGGACCTTTCCCATGTGACTCTTGTTGTGCCACATCTGGACCCTCTACCAAGGTTTGATGACCTACAGCTCCAGCGCACTCAGTTTAAGAGCACTCAAAGCGCCTCAGCCACTTGTGGGATAATCTGAGCCTAGACTTTTTAGCTCCAAAGGCTCACAATGACTGATGAGCTCCCCTGTTGATGGCAAAATAAGAGGCCTTCACATCAGCCAAGGATATAGCAATGAAAAATGTTTCATCAGAGGACAGACGACACTGAGTGTCACAACACTATGCTGGCATGACTCAGCCTGTCCCACACGCAGGCAGCAGAGAAGGCCTCAAGAATCTCGTCTTCCCGAACTGAGATTTGAGCTTCACGACAAATTAGTAAGTAGGCTGTTTCTAGGCAGGGGTTAGAATTCACACGGACCTGACCTCCAAATAAAACCCTCTCAAATAAACATGCGGGACCTGCTTACCTGTGCCACGGTGTCACACAGCGGGCTGTTAAAGAAGGACAGGATGATGTGGAAAACTCCTCGCCTGGTGTACAGCTCATAGCAGCGCTTGTCACGGAGGCCCTGCCGCAGAAGCCCAAACACCCACTCCTGCTCTGTCTTGTGCTGCAACCAGGGAAAAGAGCCACCGCTGTTCAACCACTCGCTGCCCCTTACCTGACAACTCTTCCCCCAGCACTACTTGCACGTGGCAAAAGGCTCAAACTCCACAGTCCTGGTCCTCATTTCCTGATTATAATATTAAAAATCTTTTATCTCCCACAACCCCTGGAGGAGAATGGAAGAGAAGGGATTGTGGTGTTGCCACCCCCCATGGGCAGCGATTTCTCACTTTTCCTCTCTCTGTTTCTCTTTGGTGAGTGCACGCACCCACAAACCCTATGAAAAAAAAAAAATCTCATCTTTGATTCATTTCAAGGCAGGAATAAAGACAAGTCAAGATTAAACACCAAACTGTGTTAAATCAGGTAGTTTTTCTATAGAATAAAACTTGATTTAACCTAGTGATTCACAAAGAAAACAGAGTAAGAAATGCCATTAAATAAGGACTCAAGCAGTTTTTAAGGTTCCAGAAACCACAGGAGGTTTCCAGAAGCCACAAAAGAGACAGTCCTACATGTAGCCTACGTGCACTGCCTCTGTCACGTCCTGCTGGCTCAGCACCACTCTGGCAATCGTGTTGGCTAACAGCAGTGGACGCTGCTGGTGAGGAGGTGCAGGGAGGGCAACCCTGGCTGAGTACTTGGGAGTCACGGGGACCCTGAGGACACGAGGGCATTACCTCCAGGTTGGAGCTGTAGAAGAACTGGTAGAAGCCCGGAACTTTGTCCATATTCAGACACTCGTGTGACAGCAGGAACTTGCTGATCCTCAAGTACATGTGCTCCTCTGAGGACACAGGCAGACAGTCACTCACAACAGGCTCCTGCAGGACACTTCGGACATGAATCGCTTTTGTACCACTGTTTATCAAGAATCAGGCTGCAGGGACCAGCAGGTGGCATGGTGGTTAAGGTGCTGGACACTCCCACATGGCCAACCATGGTTCGAGTCCTGGACCTGGTGGCTTGCTTTCTCACTTTCCTCTCTCTCTCTCTCTCTCTGTGCTTGCTTTCTCACTTTCCTCTCCTCTCTCTCTCTCTCTCTGTGTCTCTCTCTGGCCAAATTAAAACGAATGAATGAACATATAAATAAATAAATAAATCCTTTAAAAAAAAAAGAAAAGAAAAGAAAAAAGAATCAGGCTGCAAGCAGACACTGCTGTACATGTAGTTTATACAGGACTGCTCTCATGGCTTAAAAACTGATGCATATGAGACCATCACCACGGTGCTACCCTCGCTCCCAATATCCTGATACAGAGGCTCCAATCCACAGGTGGACAGAGTAGGGCTTGGTGACAGCACGCCACCACCTGCCCCTGCCCCAGCCTCCCACGGAAAGGAACCCCCCAGCAAGGAATGCTCGGTTGCCCACTGGGTCCCTGGCTCAGGAGTGCAGAAAGCAGACACTGACACCCCCTTCTCTTGCTGCTTCCCAGCCTTAGACTGCCAGCTACAGTGCCAAGCCCCTGCAGCCTCAGAACCATGACTACGACTGCCCTGCATCCTCACCCGACAGTCCTCAGAGCCCACTCGTGGCCAAACTGCCTAGGGCCCCCCGCCTAGCACGAGAGCTGCTGAGGGACAGAGCTCTACCCACGTGGCGCAGGCCGACTAGGAGATTAGGAAGCAAAGCGCTGCTGTCTCTGCTGTTAATTTTCCATAATGGACTTACAAATGGCTGTTCTTTCACCCCCAGATTCCCAAGGTGAGGAAAAGCTATGTAATCAAAGGGACCAGCAGTTAGCGTAATGGCTATGTCACTGGACTCCCATGTAGTCGACTGCGTTTAAGTCCCAGACCCGGTGGCTTAAACTCACGCCAGGCGCGTGTGCGTGCGTGCCCAGGATCCCGAGAGGAGAATGGAGGAGAAGGGACAAAATGATAAAGGAGCAGACAATGGCCAGCTCATAACCCGGTGAGGGCAGCTGGATCCCACATGGCTGTCTACGTGGTTCAAGTCTTGGGCCCAGAGGCTTGAGGTACACACCAGGCACGTATGTGTGTGTGTGCCCCAAATCCTGACAGGACAGAGAAATGGAGGAGCGGGACTGTGGTGCTTTCTTACTTCCTCTCTCTCTCCTCCCACTCCCTCCTCTCTCCCTTCTCTCTCCAGCAAGTGCATGTGTTTTCTCTGGCAAATAAAAAAAAAAAAGCAGACAAAAATAAGATCTGAATTCTAATAGCGCCTTGACTACAAACTAATTGGGAATCTTGGACAAGCTACTTAATTAACCATGGGTGCTCAGTGTGAGTGTGTTGGTGGCTGTGGGATGGGGACTGGTTTGGGAGCATTATCTCCTGATCTGAAATACGACCATGTTACACTAAAAGAGCCAGTCCCCAATGGCACCAACGTCCTCTGACTTTTCTCTCAAAACCCTCAAAGGGTCTACCAAGGAACTGTAGTCCTCCTACTCACATGACCTCATCTGAGGTACCCCTGAACCCCTGTGTGTAGTGGAAAGGACCCATGTTCTACCATCCTGCTTCCACACGCACAATGACCTGCAGGCCAACACTTTCTATCTAAGGCCCTGTGGGCCACGCTGAGCGGACCTCTGCTAAGCGTGGATCAATGAGGACAGCGACAGCAGCAGTGGCAGCCGCCCTGATGAGTTTTCCTGGGCCAGGCACCCTCACAAGTGCTCACACACGACCCATGGCACTCACGCAACGCTCCTATGGAGTAGGTGGAGGCTATGATCACCCCATTTCACGGTGAATAAACTGCGGCGTGGAGCAATTCAAGGCAGGACTGCTCTCATGGCTTGGTCCACGCTTTAGCTTGTGGGTTGCAGGCCCCTGATACGGACACACCCAAACACTGTGACTGACCCAAGTTGCTTTTTTATTTAATTTACCAGAAGGTGTGTGTGCCTGCCACAAAAAGAAAGGGAAAGTGAGAGTGCACACCCCCCAATGAGGTGTGGTCACTTCACAGTCCCTTCTCCTCCCGTTCTCCATTCTGTTTTGATTTTAGTGTGATTTTGGGTGTGCGCATGCACACACACACCTGGTGAGTTTTTTAAGCCACTAGGACCAGAATTCTAACTGCACAGTTGACTGTGGGATCGGCTCCCGTAACCAGTAGGCCACAGGCTGGCCCAGCCCCGGTTTTTACTTCAGTTTTGTTTTTACCTCAGTTTTATACAACTATAAGCAAATGTGAATATATTGGGTTGTCAGAAAAGTCATGATGCATTTTTGCATGAAAACAGAAAAGCAAGTCATAACTTCTCCGACAACCCAATATTTTTTCTCCTTATCATATGCACCATCTTGCATCTAACTTCGTTTACTTTTTTTCTGGATTTTACCCCATAGCGGGTCCATAAAGAATTCCTCATAACCATCATTTATTTTCAGCCCAAAACTGATGAGCACTTGGGTGTTCCCAATCTTTCACTATTACAAACACCAGCCGACCTTAAATGTATGCCTTCTCACAACTGTGTGATCAGCTATGCCCATGGGCTTATTCTTAGAAGTAGGTTGGCTCAGCTATTTCTCAGTTTCTCCCCAACCTAATCATATTAGTGGTACCTGGTTTCAAAATTTGCAGGGCTGCTTTGGCAATGAAGAGAGTCAACGTAAAAGTGAGTCTCATGTTCTGGGTTCGAATCCCATTCCGGACAACATCCAACAGGTACAGCAGCTTAAAAACAGAAGGAAAACCAGAGTGTTTTTAGAAGTTTGAGCACGGCTGATGTGTCTGCTTCTCACATCCCAGGGACCACTGAAACGAAGCTCACAGTAGCCCCTGCCGGGACTCTGGTCACCTTCCTTTGAGGGGTCAGGCATGTGCCCAATGGCAGAGGGAAGCCTGGCACCATGCCCTGGAAACGCAGTCTGCCCTGTTCCTCCACAACCAGTGTGCTGTGGCTAACAGCCATCCTAACCATGGAGTTCAGATCAAAGAAATTCTCAACAGAAACCAATGCATCTCGTCTACCCACAACAGGAGCAGACTGCCTGTAAGGAGAAGCCTTTCTCAATCTCTCCGCAGGGTGACAATCGAAGATAAGGTCTTATATCATCTCCTGAAGTAACAGACTCCTGCTCTCTAACAGACATCTCCTGGCAATGCATCTCAATAAATCCTTCTACCAGACCCAGTGGACAGCCAGCTCTGACGCTGGCCAGGCATCCAGGATGACCCCTCTTCCTGCTTACCTGGGGCTGCTCGCGGAACCGTGCTCCCTCCAGGTGGGAATAGTAGGCGGCCAGGATGTGGTAGGCGGCAGCCCGCATTTGGGGGTCATGGCTGCTAAGGGCTGCGACAGTTAGGCCCAGAGCATTCGAATCCAAAAATTTGCGGCAATCCACCACGAATTCTGCAGGAAATAAAATATAATAGTAGACACGCAGAATATCAGTTCATGAATCTTTAAGGTACTTTGCCTTATTATTTATTATTAGTAATTATTTTTTACTGCCAAAGGGCTCATGTGCTCACCAAAAACAGAGAGGGAGGGAGGGAGAGAAAACACCCCCCAAACAGAGCATGGTCACCCTACAATCCTTTCTCCTCCATTTCACTAGCCTGTCTAGATTTTGGGCTCACATTCCCACCATGTTTTTCATGCTGCCAGGGCTGGGATTTGAACCACAGTCAGCCATGTGGGATCTAGCTTCCTTAATCACTAGGTAATGAGATTGGCCCTCAGTTCATGATTTTTATAAAACCTGGAGTTAAACTTCCTCTTCTATCTTACCAATATCACCTACATGTGCCATGTATGGGGAATGGACTTCTTCCTCTGGCTCTTTTTAACCTCTGCTAAAATTGGACAAAAAGTTATTTTCCCTTTTGTGGCAAGACTATGCCCATAGTTTCTATTGCTCCTCTGCAGATGCTGTCAATGTCAACCAGTATAATTTCAATACTTCTAACAATGAGCCAGAGGAGAACAGAGGGGACACTGAGCTTCACTGCTGAGTCTCCGCCTGCCACAGCCTAGGGAGAAAACACCCAGGGATAAGCAGAGAGAATCAGCTCCCAGTTTCTACCTCATGTAGCTCACTGCCTATCCACAAACACACCAAGTAGGATTCACAGGCAATGGAAGCTGGGAAATCAGACTGGCGAAGAAGTTATTACATCCATTCTGCAACCTGCTTCTTTCCTCTGATGATGTAAGACTCATCAACAGTGGCTCTCGTGAAGTCTGAGCAAAAGCTACAGTCTAAGGAGCCTGCTAGAGGGCCAGCCCCGTAGCTCATCGGTTAAGGGATCTGATCCCATATGGCCAACCACAGTTCAAACACCAGCCCCAGCAGCTTGGAAAACATGCCAGGTACGTGTGCATGTGGTCCCAAAATCCTGATGGGAAGGAGCAGAGGAAAAGGGCTGCTGTGATCATGCCCCATTGGAGGCTTCTCTCTCTCTCTCTCTCTGGCATGCATGCCCTCTGGCAATACCCCCTAAAAACAGCTGATATCCATTTGTCACCTGTGAGGTCTCTAGAAGCTCACAGTAGTTGAGAAAAGGTAAAATGGAGAGAGAGGAGGTTAGATACATGGGGAGACCACCTTCCTACAATTCAAAGGGCTTGATTTCCACTAACAAAATTTAGGATGCTTCAAAAATCCAGACCTTTTTTTTTTTTTTTTTTTTTTTCGCGATAGGGCGCATACACTCGCCAGAAAGACAGAGAGAGAAAGAGACAGAAAGCGAGAAATCGCCGCCCCCCCCCTGGGGGGGGGGATGGCCATGACACAATCCCTTCTCCTCCATCCTCCTCCCGGGATCCTGGGCATGCACGCACACACACCCAGCGTGAGTTTAAACCACTGGGTCTGGGACTCAAACCGTGGTCGGCTACGTGAGAGTTCAGGGACATAGCCATTACGCCAACTGCTGGCCCCCCAAATCCAGACCTTTTTCAAGTAAGCCAACAGAAGCTCTTGGAAAGATGGCCTGGCACAATAAACAGTTTTGCCTAAGGTGGATTAGAGAAGCCATATGAAAGAATTCATACCATAAAATAACCTGGACTTTTCCCACTCAGTATTGTAAGCAGTAGAGAATGCAAAAGAGCGACCACACCAGAGGATTATCTTGAGAAAGACTTTGAAGGAAGAAAAAGAGACTGATCTTTGGTAGCAGATGGTGTATCACAGAATACTTGGTAGGCAGGGCTGAATTGAGAAGGTTTATGTGTGACGTGTGTGCTGGGCATTTGCTTTTCAACAGTTTGAGTAGTTGACATGTAAATATTTTCTCAAAAATATTTTCTCTGTTGTTAAAGAGTCACAAGCAAAATTACAGCAAATATTTTGAACATTATCTTTAAAATTCAGTTTTCTGAATTTTGGAAGTTGTTTACTAACTGTCAAGAACTATGGAGTATGAGCAAAATATTTTTTTGATATGTAAAGTAAATGTTTGTGGAAAAATGTAAAAAAAGAAAAATCCAGGTTTTTTTTTTTTTTTTTCAAGATAAATATCATCAAGAAGAACATCAGAATAGAGAGAGGTCATCACTTTGTGTAAAAATGATTACTCTGGTACTGATAATTACCCACAATGATGCCCTTTAATAGAACCGTGACTTAGTTAAATTAAAACCCAAATACAAGTCAACTGAAATGACTGCCTTAGATAAGTAATCCTGAAATATATTATCAATAAAGATCTATCATCAACATTTTTTAAAAGTTAGAAGAAAGACTGAGCATGTTAAACAAAGACATGAAGAACTTTCCAAACTGAAACATAGAAAGAAGAATTAGCAGAACATCAGTGAGCTGTGAGTCAATTTCAAGCAATCTAACATATATGCAATTGGGGTCCCTGGAAAAATTTGAAGAATTAATAGTCAAATAACAGGGAACCAGCAAATGGCATAATGGTTATGTTGCTGGACTTCCATGTAGTTGACTATGGCTTGAGTAACAGACCTGGTGGGTTCAAATTCACGTCAGGCATGTGTGCCCAAGATCCTGAAAGGAAAATGAAGAAGGGACTGCAGTGTGGCCATGCCCCTGGGGGGTGATTTCTCACTTTCTGTCTCTGTCTCTCAGGCGAGTGCACGTACCCTATAACAAAAAATCTCTCTCAAAAAAAAGGGGGGGGGCAAATAATAAAAACCTACAGTCAAGAAGCTCAATGAGCCCCAAGCACAAGAAACATAAAACCACACCAATCTACCATAATCGAATTACTTAAGACAGTGATAAAATCTAAAAGCAACCACATAATATAAAGAAGAATAGAAGCCAGCTCCCAATAATGCACTGCTCAAAAGAAGCTGGATCTCAAATCCTGGGTCAGCTTGCAACACAGGATGAAAGGCCACATGTGCAAGTACCCAAGATCTGCTGGGTGGGAGACTGAAGGAAGAGGACTGCAGTATGACCAGGCCCTGTGGAGGGTGCTCCTCTCTTCAAACACACCCTCACATGTGTGCACACAATCATAACCAAAAAATATAAATAAACCACAGACAATAAAAGAATAGAATCACAAAGTTTCTTTTTTTTTTGGAGAGATTTTCGCTATAGGGTACGTGCGCTCACCAGACAGAGACAGACATTAGAGACAGAAAGTGAGAAATCACCCCCCCCCCCCGGGGTGATGGTCACGTCGCAATCCCTTCTCCTCCATTCTCCTCTCAGGATCTTGGGCATGCACGCACACGTGCCCAGCGTGAGTTTTAAGCCACCGGGTCCGGGACGCGAACCACAGTCGACTACATGGGAGTCCAGCGACATAGCCATTACGCTAACTGCCGGTTCCCACAAAGTTTCTTAGTGAAGACAATATAATTCAAAAATAAGGGGAGTAATATCTTTCAAGTACTTTAAGAAAAATAAAAAAAATCAACCTCAAATATGATACCTTACAAGAATCCTTCAAAAGATTTTCCACCTTTTTCAGTGAATTCAGATGTAAAGCCTACCCAAAGTTCAAGTCATGGCCCCACTGGTTTGAAAAACACACAGGGCATGTATGTATGTGTATCCAAAATTCTGAGAAAGTGGAGAAGAAAGGACTATAGCATGACCATGCCCCACTGGGGGTGCTTCCTCCCTCTCCCTGACTCTCTGGAGAGCACACATAACCTCTGACAATTAATTTAAAAAAATAAAGAAAGTATTTCAGGAAGAAGGAAAATGATACCAGGTAGAAGTCTGGGTCTACACAAAGGAACAGGGATAACCAGAAATAGTAACTGTATTGCAAATATCAAATATTTAAATAATTTTTTAACAAATAACTATTTTGAAGCAAAAATAACAAAACATTATAGAGTTTATAGTATATAAATAAAATGTTTGGTAAGACCAGTGCAAAAAGCCAAGAGGAAAGAAATGAATTTATATTGTTACAAGGTTCTTATACTAAATAAGAAGTGGTATCATCTCACTTGAGGGTAAACTAATATACTAAAAATGTATACTATAAACCCGAAAGCTACCACTACACACACACACACACACACACACACACAGACACACACCAAAAAGGAAGATGAAATGGAGCCAGATAAATACATAAAATATAAACAGGGTGTGTGTATGTATGTGTGTCTTCAAAAAGTTCTTGGAAAACATGTACTGTGAAAATGGCATGCATAGTTGTGAAATTTTTGTACTCCCCCAAAATTCCAATTACGAGGAAGAGCTGGTCAGATTAAACACTTCCTTTTTTTTTCATTTTGAGAGATTTTTTTGCTATAGGGCACGTGTGCTCCCTGGAGAGACAGAGACACAGAAAGTGAAAAATCAGCCCCCAGGGAGGAATGGCCATGCCACAATCCCTCCTCGTACATTCTCCTTTCGGAATTTAGGCATGCATGCAGACGTGCCCGATGTGTTCCCCCCCCCCCCCCGAAGTGCCCAATGTGTTCCCCCCCCCCCCCGATGTGAGTTTTAAGCCTGCAGGCCCGGGGCTTGAACCATGGTTGAACCGCATACGAGTTCAGTGATATGCCATCATTCCATCTACTGGTCCCAATTAAACACAGTTTGATACAAAAACAGAAGAAATCAGAAAGGATGGAAGAAGAATAGTAAGATGACTCCTGGGTTCCAACAGCTTACAGACTAAATTTTCTAATTTTCTCATTTCTAACAAGTGACTACTTTTCTTTTTATTAAATAAGACAATGATAAAAAAGGGAAAGTGGCTGACAAAGCCTCACCACTGTGGTCCTCTGCCTCCCAGTTAGCTAGGTTTACCAGTGTGTGCTCCTGTGTCTGGCCTGTTCAGGTTCATCCAGGGTCCAGGATCTGAACCTGGGACTCTTATGTGGCCCTAGCTTCTGCCAGGCCCTATAGCTTATGCACCATGCCTAGACCCAAGTGATTATTGCTGATGGGAGCAAGG